TGGGTTGCTTCGTCCAAGGGGACTTTGTAGACTTGAGGTGAGTATTTGTCTAAGGGGACAAATTTAAATCCACCTTAGCTAACAGAGGGCTTTGTGCCTTATCAATTATATGCTATTGATTCATATATCAAGGATTTGATGCCACTAAGGAGCGTATTGGCTATGACCATAACCGGTATTTCGTGGTGCCATTTGGCTGCAAAACCACTCGGTTCAGAGGGCCCCGGATCATAACTGTTTATCATGCGGTGCCATTTGACCGCAAAATCGCTGGTTAGAGGACACGTACACGTAACACGCTCGCCGGGGCCCATGCAGGTTCTATGATTGCTTTTACCCCTTTCAGTGTACCTATGTGTATACAAACTACGGTGCACGTGTGGGCGTACTTTGAAAATACTTGTAGACGCCTTTTGTCCACTTATGTGAATGTTGTGGATTCGGTGGCGTGTCGTAGTAGCTTGTGGACGCCTTCTGTCTGCTTGTACGAATGTTGCAGATCCGGTGACGCGGCGTAGCAGCTTCTAAATTGAGTTGTTCGCTGCTTTGTACAGGTAGACTATCGTGCACTACTCGTTGCTTTCTGCAGTTTGATCATATCGCACTAACGAATCTCTTGCTTTGTGTTTGTCGATGCTTGTATTTATTGTATTTCTTTCATATTTTCTTGCTTATAATGTATTGTGCAACGAGTTTCCTAGAATGACTCGTAAGAGCTTGCATTTGTTGTAGTCCTTTGGCATTTATTCATAGGTAGTATGTAATATTCGTAGTGGGGCTCCAGTAGAAACTCATGTGATCTTGTATCTGCCGTATTCTTCATGCACTTTGTTGTGGTATTTGACTTATATAGTACATCCGCCACTGCTACAAGTAGACAGGTAGATGTATTCCTTCACAGATTGAAATTGACTTCAAGATACTGCATTTACTGAAGTCTTTTTGCATCTACCAATAAGTGGCATGTTATACGTATATCTGTATTCTTTGAGAGATTGTATGCATTGCAGATCTTTTTGACTAAATGCTCCCAGTCATTTCGATTCAATCATTCCTCTTTTGTGTGTATTTGAAACCCTTTTAATGTGTTTTTCTTGGAATTAAATCTTCGTGTAGGTTGAAGATCTTTTGTTATAGCATTGAATTATTGCAACTCCGTTGTCCTCAAAAGTAGTTTAGTTCTTCTTGCAAACTTTTTATCCTCCAAAATGGTTTACAAGATACACGGTGAATTAGATATTGATCCTTTCATTCAAATTGAAATGATCGTTGTAGGCTAACTATAATTGCTCAAATAAGCTTTATACCAAAGCTTGTAGTGACTTTTTGTGCGGACCTTTGCTTGCAAGCTAGTTGTATCACAACTTCATTTGTTCTTGTTTGAGTGCACTGAAGGTTTGTTCATCATGAATCATTTTGCTTGATTGTATGAGATTTGTATGAATCAAACCTTTTTGATGGCATTTGGTTGTATGATTCTTCTCCATAATTTGTGAATAAATGATGCTTGTAGGCTAGATTGTCCAAGTCTTGTACATGCTCTATTACATTGTCATGTGTCACATATTCAATTTGATGTCATTCAAATTCCATGTAACTCAATTCAAGCTTGAGTCCCACATTGTCCATGATTGATTCAAGTTTAAGTTCTATGTCCCCTTCACTTGGTTCAAACCAAGTTCTCTTTCAAGTTCTGTTCTGTGTACGTGCTTCAAGTCCTTACTTGAGTTTAACTATTCAAGTCAAATTTGAATCAAGCTCTTTGTTCATTTGAGTTTGAATCTAACTAATTCAAATCATATCCATTTGATGTTCAAATTAAGTCCAAGCTTGAACTCATTAGATTCAAGTATGTTTTGTTAATCATTTGCTTTGTGTCAAAATACTAGTCCATTTTATTGTTCAAGTTCAATGTCTAAAGTTCAATCATAGTTCTTCGTGGTTCGAACAAATTCAAGTCATTGATCTAAGTCCTTGCTTGAGTTCAAGTACCAAACTCAAGTTCTTGTTCTTATTTGAGTTCAAGTCCAGGTTTAGTTCAATCTTGAGTCCAACTCAAGTCTTACATAAGTTCTTGCTTGAGTTTTCTTAAGCCATTTGCTTAGTTATCCAAGTTTGAATTTAGTTCAAATGATGTCCAAATCAGTGTCCAAATAAGATTCAATATTGTTCAAAGTCCTTGTCTTTTTTGGACAAAATTTCGGCAGCCTCATGGCGTCTCCCCCAATTAGGAGAAAAATCAAGAGGCCGCCTACCCGCCACGTCAACAAAGACGTGCACGGTGGGTGTTTGTGAGACACCGCTGCGGTGATTTTTATTTTTATTTTCATCCACCACACCAACAAAGGCGTGCATGGGGGTTTTAAAACATTTTTTTGAAAAAAAAGTAGTTTGCTTTCCCTCCGCTCGGAGGTACTTATGAGCGATCCTTCGCCATAGGTGCCGCACTGGGATCCCATCCCACCACGCGCAACAAAGGCGTGCATGGGCAGTTTTCCGGTCCGCCACAAACATTGAAGTAAGGTTTTGAGTTTAGAAAAATTCGTACATTCGCGGGGTTGGCACGTGGATCGAGGGGTCACTCGCCTACCTCATCGTAGGTGTCGCACCGGGTTCTCTCCTACCACGCTCAACAAAGGCGTGCATAGGTGGTTTGCCGGCCCAACACGTATGTCGAGGTAAGAGAGATTTTTTGTTTTAATTATAATTAATTAAAATTAATAATAATTAATTATAATTTAAAATAATTAAATATAATTATAATAATTAACCATATTTAATTATAAAATGATGATAATTAATTTAAATTAAAAGTTAATTATAATTAATTTTAATAAATTATGATTAATTATTATCACTAATAATTAACTATATTAATTATAAATTAATCATAAATTTTTTAATTAAAACTAATTATTATTTATAATAATTAAATATAATTAAAATATTTAATTATAATTAAAATATTTAATTATAATTAATTATAATTAACTGTTTTTAAAAATAACTAAATATAGTTAAATAATAATAATAGTAATAATAAGATAAAATAAATACCTAATCAACTGAGGGTCGGGTAGATGAATCTTGCAGCCAAGGCAGAGAGGGAGTTCGGGTGAGGAGTTCGGCTAGGGGCTCGGGAAGGAGAGGTGAGGTCGGACGGCTCAGGTAGCTCTCTCCTTCTCTCTCTCTCTCTTTCTGTTTCTCTTGCTCGGCCGGAGAAAACGAGAGGGTCAGGCAAGGATCGGAGGAGGGAATCAGGATCTTGAGGGCTGCAGCTTACGGTTTGGTTAGAGATCGATTGAGGAAGGGTCGGATGGGAAGGATGAATTTGAGGCGGGATTGAAGCAGGTGGAATCGGCTAGGTAGGAGAAGGGAAGGATGGGGCTTGGACAGATTCTCTCTCTCTCTCGTCTCTCTCGGCTTGTGTGGAGGTGTCGGTTCAGGAAGGCACGACGGGAGCTTCGTGTGTGTGGAAGAGCAGCGACTGAAGGCTTCCATCTGCTCTGGTAATTTAACGACGCATTTGGGCTCTCGATCGGGAGAGGTCGCAGGATTTGCGGGATCAGACCGCGAACGACGTCGGTCTTATAGTGATTGAGAGCAGGATTTGCGGAATTTAGCAGAGATAGGCAGGATTTCAGCGTAGGTATGCTGTATAACATTTTGTTTTCTCTTTCGGATTTTATCCGGAGGTCAACATGAGCAGATATTAATTGGGAGGGTTGGCTTTATTTTGGTTAGGCCGATGGTCCTGTTATGTTATTGTTGAGTAAATTTCTTTAAGGTTAGATATGATATATTTATGAAAGGCGCCCTTGTCAATGGCTAGAATAATATATATGTATAATAGGCGCCACTTTTTAAGTGCTAGATCAATGACTTATATGTATTGATAGGTGCTAAGGGATTGGTTAGGGTCTTAGTGCCTTTTAGTTTTTAGAATAGTTTTTCTAAGTTTTAATTTTATTTGGGATAACTTTCTCATTGCTTTTAAAAGTAACTTTTTAATTTATATATATATATATATATATTCTTTTTAAATTTTTAGTAATGATATTTTCCTTTTATATTTTAAATAATAATAATAATAATAATAATAATAATAATATTTATATTTTATTTTTATTTTCTTAAAATAAATGTTTGAATGCACTCTCACTATGAATTTTCTTAACCTGTGCATGGTAAAATTTTCGCCATCTCTTCATGTGGCAACTCGAGCGTTCTTGAGATATTTTAGCATTGTGGACTCGTCAAGTTCTTCCATTTTATAAACGGGTGATGATTGAGTAATTTCTTTCATGCGAAAGCAAAGTTCTTTGTTGATTTTTTGTTAAATTACGTCTGTCTTCTAGTTCCAGCCCATCATCATCTCATTTGATCAAATTGGCTTGTGGATCACTTGATCAAACTGGCTTGTGGAACATATATGGAGGTCAACGTAAATCTTGTGACTGTTTTGTCTATTTTATGACTGCTTTACCACCTTATCAGAAACTTAAACATTTCTCATTTAGTATAGGATTTTGGCAATGACAAGTTAAAGAATTCTAGGATCAATAGTTTTACTGAATTTTTTATTGCAGTTTTAAACAAATTTTAGTGAAATAAGTGTTGCGGCTCTCTTGGGTCTGCACTCATTGGGACCTTTAGTTTTGTGAAATTGGCGATTTTCTTTAATGTTTAGGAAAAGTTTTGAGTTTATTTTTTGTGAAAATACACCCATCTTTTGCCGTCATTGTCTCGTTTGATTAATTCTGCTAGTGGAACATATTTGGAGATTAACAGGATTCTTATATTTCCACATTCATTTTCTATTAAATTTCTTTTCCCACCTTATCAGAAGCTTAACGTTCCTCATTTATAGGATTGGCAATCACAATTCAATGAATTTCTGGATCAATACTTTTAATGAATTTTTATTGCAGTTCTAAACAAGTTTTAATGAAATGTTATGGCTATAAAAACTACTAACTCTCTACAGCCTAATGCTGTAGGTCCTCATAACTCCAATTCTTGATGGGCAAGCATTGCTTTACTCTTTTGAGTCTACTCCTGAGGTTAGAATAGGTGTTGCATTTGGTAGTGGTAATGGCCAAACACTTCCGGCAACAGAATTGCCTGGGGTCTCATCTTGGCTGGTATGTCAGCTATTTATCTCAGGGTCATTTCCTTTAATTAAGCCAAGGATTTGTAAAATCGAAACATGCCATTTTTGAATTTCTATGACTTACTATTGTAAGTTAGCAATATTTGGTCTAGGTTTAAAAGCTGAACCTTTGGTTTCTAACTTTAAACAGGTTAGAATTTTAACTGAAACCCTTGCCAAGATGATGGTTGAGCCTCGACGAGCATGTTTTTCCTTGCCCTCAAAAGATCTTAGAAAGAAAGCTGTTGGTGGACTAATTTCTGTCACAGTAGTATCAGCCAGTAATTTGAATCTTAATAGTGTGAAACGCAACATTGAAGAGAGTCCGGAGAGTTCATTAGTAAGCAGTCAGTCTTCAGTGAGCTTGGGGAATCAAATTGAGCAGACATTTATTGAAGTGGAGCTTGGAAATTTGTCCAGGAAAACCAATTTTAGTCGAAGTTCAAATCCTACATGGAATTCTGTTTTTAATCTGGTAATGCATGGAGATACAGGCATAATCAGGTTTCATTTATGTGAAGGGGGTCCAAGTAGTGTAAAGCTAAATTACTTAAGCAGTTGTGAGATAAAGGTAACTTTATAATTGATTAACTTCAACTAAAGCTTTCTGCAGATTGAAATGGAAGTAAATGTTTTCTGCTTTTTCCAACAGATGAAATATGTTGCAGATGATTCCACTACATTTTGGGCAATAGGGCCCAATTCTGGCGTGTTGGCAAAGCATGCTGAGAACTGTGGGCAGGAAGTTGAAATGGTTATTCCATTTGAGGATACTAATTTTGGAGAGGTATACTTTATTTCCAAAGTAATCATTACTATATTAAAGGCTTTATCAATATGATTTTTGAGTGCCCCCCATTAATTGAACTGTGCAATTAGTAATTTTGCAGTTTGGTAAGTGGATCTCAAATGTACCTTTAAATTGTTTTTCTTGTTTGTTGATTATTGTACAAGGAGCTTTTTAATTTTTCCATATGGTTTCAAGAGGTACACCTATATCCATTATATGCTTTATCAACCTGATATTTGAGGTGCTATGTTGTTTCCTTATTTATGTAGTGCTATGATTTATTTTATGTCTGGGTAGTTGTGATCAGGATTCGATCAGCAACAACTCTTAACTTCCCAGACTTGTGTGTCTACCCACACTAGCTTTTTAATGTTAGACGTTTATTCTTTTGCAAGCAGATCTATGTACAACACTTTCAGCACTTTAAATCATCCTCACTATAAGCCTTATTCCAACTATCCGGGCTCAGATTATGAATCATTATCCATAAATTCCTTTCTGAGTGTCATGTAGGTGTTAATTATAATTTACGCTAGTCTTTTAAAACAACTAATTTTCATGTCATTTTTGAACTATCTCTTTCCCTTCTATTCCTTTTTTGCACTCAAACATTGTTGATAGATCTGCTCTCAATTTTACCATTCCTTTTCCTTAAGGAGGATAGCTACTCGCTGGATAATGGTCCTTGTTGCTGCTTCGCAATTGAACACTAAAAGCTTAACAGTTTGTGTAATAGAAAATTCATAGAGTGCGAAGTTCATATCTATTGTAATATTTGACTAGAAGATCTAGAGGAAAGAGTACAATTCTGGGTAAACAATATATACATTTATTTGAATGGCATGTTGGTCACATTCAGGTTTCTATTTCGATTCAGTTACTTGTGGAGTTTGAGTATTGGTGGCATTTGTGCTTTAAAAATATATCCGTTCCAACTATATTTCTATTTAAAATATCTATCTTTTACATTTTGACATATATTTTTAAATTTTTTTACTGCAGTTAACTGTTAGGCTTGTCTTAAAGGAATGGCAGTTTTCCGATGGTTCCGTTACCATGAGTAGTTCTTCAGATGGTCAGTTTCAATCATCCATATATGGTTCATCAAGCATGCCGCTCAGAACTGGAAGGAAACTTAGTATAACTGTAGTGGAAGGAAGGGACCTGACTACTAAAGATAAATCTGGAAAGTGTGATCCTTATGTCAAATTAGAATATGGAAAGGTTTTGTTTTCAACTGTCTATGTTTTGTTATTCACATTGATGGTTTATTTCTTAAGATTACCACCAAGAAGATTGCAAATCTGTTGGTAATAAGGAAAGTTCTTTTCCCTCTTCAGGTTCTCCAGAAAACAAAAACGGTATATCATACCACAACTCCTGTGTGGAACCAAACATTTGAGTTTGATGAAATTGGAGGAGGTGAATATCTCAAGATCAAATGCTACAATGCAGAAAAAATTAGTGATGAAAATGTTGGAAGTGCACGGGTAAGTTTAGAAGGACTTTTGGAAGGTTCTTGCCGAGATGTTTGGATACCCCTTGAAAAAGCAAACTCTGGTGAACTGAGACTTCAAATACAAGTTGCAAAGAATAATGCCCACGAAGGATATTGGGTAAACTCTCCAACATATTGAGATCGTTTTGGTATTATAACAAAATAAGAATGCTAAAATAAGCTTACTTATATTGTTTGAGCTGTTTGCTAACATTGAATTTGTTATAGGATGTCTATTTAAATAGCTTTCTTTTGCTATTCCATTCCTAGCGGTAGCGTTGGTTTCTGATGGTAAAATTTTGAATTCCTGCAGAACTCATCACAAAGATCATTTTCAGCTGGTTGGATTGAATTGGTTCTTATTGAAGCTAGGGACCTTATTGCTGCAGATCTAAGAGGAACAAGTGATCCTTATGTTAGGGTTCATTATGGTAACCTGAAGAAACGTACAAAGGTCACTTGTTATTTTCTAAATGTTAGGATAATAATTTTTAATGCATGAACTTTTTTTATTTTTGTTCATTATTCATGCTCTTCGTACTACAGTTATATCTAGTTCAGAGTGGTTCCCAGAAGCATTTGTACAAATAAGAAAATAAGAATCTATGTGAAAATTCCTCAGATGATGTTAAATTTATCGACAACTACAGAAGCTTTGTGAAAAGCCGAAAGATTAGGAAAAGGTCGTGCTTGGAGGCTGGTGGTTTAGTAGTTGGCTACCGATGAAGCTGGTCAAGGGTTCAAAACCAACGGATAGCAGGTCGTCTTTAACTGTCTGTTGAATGGCAAGATCTGAAACTTATCACACTAAAAAGAAAAAGGCTGGTGACCATGAAGCATATCATCTTTGAAGCAAAATGTGGGCTCCGAAAATTCGGCCCCGGCCTCCGCTCGCTGCTCTTTTCTTTCGGCGAGAGAGTTTTAACTGAATAAGTTCCGAGGTAAATTTTGGAAGGCAGATGAGTTTGTAGATAAGACACTACCCAGAGATTTCGCCCTCATTTTGCGAGGACTTTATGATCTGAGTTCTGGTTTCCTATAGGCGCAAGCCCCTATAGTTAATTACCCCTCCCGATCACGAGAGAGAACTTTCGATTAAGGCTAGTCATCAATCAGATATGTAGAATATACGTGTTATCTGGCATATAGTAGCAGCAATAGGTTTGGAATTTGGAGAACTGGATTTGGATTTGGGAATTTGGAAAGTATTGAAAAGTTTGATATTTAAAATATGAAATTTCACCACCTAGCACTTAAAGCTGATGGTGGGGTAATGGATGATTGACCCAATCAAGATCCCATAGTTCCGTCGTCCCGGGCCATCGTGGTCCCTGGTCTACTTAGTCAGAGGAGGTAGTCGACCCAACCTGACAGAAGGATCCTTGTCGGCAGCCATGGGTTGCTTCGTCCTAGGGGACCTTGTAAACCGAGGGTGAATGTTTGTCTAAGGGGACAAATTTAAATCCACCTTAGCTAACAGAGGGCTTTGTGCCATATCGATCATATCCTATTGATTCATATCTCAAGGATTTAACGCCACTAAGGAGCGTATTGGCTCTGGCCATAACCGCTATCTGTGGTGCCATTTGACGGCAAAATCACTCGGTTCAGAGGGCCCCGGGTCATAACCGTTTACCTGCAGTGCCATTTGGCGGCGAAACTGCCAGTTAGAGGCCACGTACCACGTCCTTACTGGCAAGAGATTGATTTGAGAATGGATCCTAGTAATATTTTCGACTAGGCATTAAGCTCTTTGTGAGCTGAAGTAAACTTTAATTTGTCCGCCCCGACAAACTGTTGCGGAGGGTGGATGGATTTTGCTTTAAGTGTGTTGATGGATTGATTTCATTTTTAATATTTTTGGGATTTTTTTGGATTTTTGTGGAGTTTTGGTTTTTTGGATTTTTATGGGTATTTTGGGTGGAGCTATGGACTTTGAATATTTACGAGACATTTAAAAATATTTGGAAACCCCTCCGGTTGAGATCTGCATTCAACACGGCCATCATCGGGGTGTTTGAGGTCATTGCTATTTGTAGCTTGAACCTTGTCAACTTAGCCGAGCTATTGACAGAGGATCGGGTTTCATAGGCTTCGTGCCTTTATTAGTGAATTCATGTTGTTGTAGGCCTAATATGAATGTTTTAAAGCAAATATACCGGTCGCCATAACTTTATATTTGCTTAATGGTTCGAACCCTTTTGACTTCTATTGACCCGTATAGAAGGATCGATTTCGAACCTGAATCACTTGTCAACCCGCGCAGCATCCCTAGACGTCACGTGTGTACCAATAACACGCTCGCCAGGGCCTATGCGGGTTAAGATTGTATTTTCCCCTTTAGTGTACCTATGTGTATACAAATTACAGTGCACGTGCAGGGGTATTTATGGAATAGACGCCTTCTGTCTGCTTGTACGAATGTTGCAGATCCGGTGGCATAGCATTGTAGTTGTGGACGTCTTCTGTCTACTTGTACGAATGTTGAAGATCCGGTGGCATGACGTAGCAGCTTCTGAATAGAATTGTTCGCTACTTCGTACAGGTTGACTGTCGTGCACTACTCGTTGCTTTCTACAGGTGGATCGTAGTGCACCAATGAGTCTCCTGCTTTGGGTCATAGGAGCTTGCATTTGTCATAGTCTTCATGCATTTTGTTGTGTCTTTGATCTTTTCAATACGTTCACTACTGCCGGAGGTAGATGTATTCATCTTTAGACTGAAGTTGACTACAGGATACTGCATTTACTGTAGTCTTTATGCATCTACCCATGGATGTTATACATACATTTGTATTCATAGATAATTTGTATGGATTGCAGACCTTCTACAATTGTCCATGTGTAGATTGTTACATGTATCACGGATTTATCGTCCTTGAAATTGACTTTGAAAAGTTTCCTATAATCATTATCCTTTTTAACAATTATATCTCATTTGACAAGAAAGCTTTGAAGCATTTACAAGAAACTAAGTAGTATTGAGTTAATGTATTGGTCCATTCGTCGATTGCTATTGATAATAATCAGAATCTCCTTCAAGAAATTCTCTTCACTTTGCTTATGAATATAGTGTACCCTTCATACGTGTGTTGGTTGTATCTCTCTTGTTGTCAACTCCAAGCAATCATCAATATACAATATGTCTTTCTATTACATCATCATTTGACCCATGATGCGAATGACAACATTAGTGCTATTGTTGATTGAAAATTTGCATTTTGACTAGTATGAAATTCATGAATCATTCATAACATCTATTGAAGGCCTTGTATTGTAGCTTGTACGTAAATTGCCATACTCTTTGCCGGCTCTCTTGATCGTTGCTTGATGATGCATCGTTTCTAATGCTGTAAATGAGCCATTGTGATCCAATGACCTCTTCCCAATATTATGATTTTGGTGTAAAATCATATTATTTATGTTCTTCTTGCTACTTGTAATCAAATTACACTTGCAAGTTCTTTGCGATAAACTTGAGATCAAGTTCATCAATCCCTTCTTTCTAATTGAAATAATTAAACAAGTTAATCACTATTGGTCACATAGATTTCACGTTCACACTTGCAATGAATTTGTATATGAGTCTTTGCTTCCTAAATCTGCATTTGCACGATAATTCTATTAGGAAGTTGATTATCTTTTAAATCAAATTCCTTATAGCTCATCTATTGACATTCACTTGAATACATGTCAAACCAAATATCGGTTCATCGCATGATATTTTGTTTCATGTAATCTCTTCAAGTTAGATCCTTCATGATTCATTCAAATTTGGGGTTCAAGTGTCCATGCTTTGTCCACATGATTCAAGCTCTGAGCATAGTTTCATACAGTCAACTTGTATGTTAAACGTCAAAGTTCTTTTTGTTCAAGTATAGTTCTTTGTGCAAGTTCGATGTCCACAAGTTTTGAGTTCAATGTCAAAGTTCACCTTGCAAGTTCAAGTCCCAAATGCTTGCAAAATCAAGTTCATTTGTTGATTTTGATTTTTAGCCACATTTTGATTTTATTTCACTTGGTTTTGGCATTCATTAATCTTTTGAATTTTAGTCCAGATTCAAGTCCACAGTTCGCATTCTTTTGAGTTCAAACAGGTCCGAGTACAGTATGTTTTCACCCGAAATTTTGGCAGCCTCTCGGCGTCTCCAAGCATCGTAACGAATTCTCTCCTACCAAGCTAGAGAAAAGCGTGCATAGGTGGTCGTTCGCCGCGTTGCAAGCGCCGGGAGTGGGTGTTCAAAGTTTTAGGGTTTAGGAGTGTTATACCTTAACGACCGGCGGGAGCGATGTTGGCTCGAGGGAGAGAGAGAGCATCATCATTTTTCTTTCTTTTCTTTTTTTTTATTAATTTAAATTAATTATAATCAATCATAATTAAAAAAATTAATTTAAAATTAACTTAATTAATTATAGCTAATTATCATCAATAATAATTAATTAAAATTAAAATAATTAATTACAATTAAATTTAAGTAACTATAATTAAATTTAATTAATTATAATTAATCATAATTAATTATAATTAATTTTAATTTAATTATAATTAAGTTATTTAATTATAATTCATTATAATTATTGTACTTAAAAATTAAAAAAACATAATTAATTATAATTAAATCTTAATTTAATTATAACTAATTATATTTAATAATAATAATAAAACCTCCCTCTCCCTTTCCCTCCTCTGGTTCGGCGAGTTTACGGGATTTGGCCAAAAGAGCGCGCGAAAGGGAGATGTTACCTTCACGGCAAGAGCTCCCGTTGTTGCTTGAGATCAAAATGTCAGAACTTCCAGTCCGACAGGGAGAGAACGTCGGAGGAGGAGGCGAAGTCAGCAGCAAGTATAGAGGTAGGGTTCGGTGCCTCTCTCTCTCTCTCTCTCTCTCTCTCTCTCTCTCTCTCTCTCTCTCTCTCTGCGGGATGGAGGAACCGAGAAGATCGGGATGGAGGGAGCTCGACAGAGCTCGGTTGCAAGAGGGGAGATCGGTATTTGGAGTCGGACGTGGGAAAGGAATCGAAGCAACGACAATGAAAGCTTCGCTCTCATTTTATAGACATGATTCAGGATGCGATCGAGGACTTGCAGCAGGATTTTCGCAGACATCCCGGAACGACGCCGTTTGAACAGTATTTTCTTAGCGGAATCTGAGCAGGATTTCGGGATTTCAGTCGGGATTTCGGGCAGATATCGTGGATCCCATGGATTACAGCCGGCATGCATTCGTTTCATTCAATTTTGGATATTATATGGAGGTTAACACAAAACACATGAATTAGATTATTCCTTCCCTAGAGATCCATCAAAACAAAGTAAAAGGATGAAGAACAAGTTGTTTATGCATTGAAACCAGGAAGGAAGCAAACAAAAGTGACGGTGAAGGTTAATAGAAAGAAATTGAATAATAACAGAAAGGGAAGGGAAATGGAGATTTTTGGTATTCATTATATGATA